GAGGGCACTCACGACGCGATAAAGCCCTTCTCTTGCTCCATATGTTTCTTGACTTCCTTGATGGACTTCGTCTTGTACAGTTCGAGGATAAGATCCTTGTGTTCTTCCCACTTGTCTTCTAGGATCCTCCGCGCGTTTTGCCGGGTACCGTCTCGAAAACGGTCCATATTGGCTCGAGAGACAGGAGGTTGTTGGTGTGGGTGACAACGCAGGCCATCTAGCAGTGTTGTTTTATAGTTCGGTCATCAGGCGGTTTTGATATCTGAAAGCCAGAATGGAGGATTCCAAGGGATGCCTCCCATAGGCCGCGAACCAGCAAAAGTACGCCTCGAGGAGTGCCTTTTGGGCGTCCATTTGCCAAATTCAGTGGACGTTGCACAAAACAACATTGTATTCAGGTCAATCCAGCTAAGCCAGTTGCATGCTCGTTTGTTCCCTGAGCTGGGACGCTAATGCAGGGTGGGAAGCGCGCTCAGCCTTGCGTGGTGTTTTTGGGAATTCCAGCACCACCTCGCAAAACGCCCCGAGGCATCTTTGCCAGACTGCCGCCGTCATGCGGTGCAGAAAGCTGCGAAAATACGCCTGAGTCTCAGAGGCTGAAAAGGATGAAAAGCAGGGGGGCTGAGTCAGGTGAAAATACAGCCAAGTTTTAGTCCAACTGCGATGTAACGATCTCGCGCGCAGAAGACAGATGGCACTGCAGGTCTTATCTTCCACAAATTCTGTGCGCGAGGACTTCCTCCAGCGTCGACATATAGCAGAGCGATATCTCCATCGGACCCTGCGTGTGGACTGCCAAAGTTTTGCTTTGGCGGCGGTTGTACTCAGGGGCCGGCTCCTGAGCGACAACAATGAACCCGCAATCTTGAAACCCAGCGACACCAACAGTGTTTAAGTGGACGCATACATGAGTCCGAGTAGTCGGGCTTCTCACTCGGATCACTGAGAGTGTAAACAAGCAATCGCTCGTCCCAAGGTGCCTCACTTAAGGCAGCTTGAAAGGCAACGGTCTCGGCGGATGCCTGGCCTGGACATTGCAGACTCGGTCAGCTCATTTGAAGGCCAATAAAACACGACGAAACAACGGAACCCGTGTTTGGTTGAAGTGGGAGGGTTGGAGGATATGTGGGGGATTGCGGCAGCATATCCCGTCCTGCCAGTTCACGATGCTGGACAAGAAACCCTCTGAGAAAAGGAGCTGTTGCACTGAGCATCGATGTCAGCAGGACTCGGACCTCGGGAGAAGGAATGGAAGTTACTTGGCTGCTAGTATGACACATTGTCTTCATGGCTTTTTTTTTTTACTTGACCATCTTTTCGTTTATCTTTCTTTCCTTTTATGTCTGATTCTGTTTGCTTGACTCCTTGTTGCTGGAACTGTCGGCGTGATTGGTAATGTACATGTACTGTGTATGTACAGACGCCTGTTTTGGCCATTGGATGGCTGGTTTGTGCACCAAAGGTCAAATTCGTAGCCACAGAGAGAAGAGAGAGAAAACAAAAGCTGGGAGAATGCATGTTACGTCTTGACCACAAGCAGATCCGTAAGTCTGATTAGTGCCCTGCAGGATTGCAAAGCAGCAGAGGCTTCCATGTTAGGTAATTCCAGCTTAAGCCGCAGTCGCTCGATCATGTGCTCTGTTCTGGAAGCCTATGACGTCAGAGGCCCTGTCAAACAGCTCTCCCCGCTTGCCCCACCGAAGTGTACGGTACTTTTTTGCTGCAGGATGCTGCGAACCTACGGTACATTGGATTCAAGGATTCAAGCACACTCGCCCAGTTTATGTTCCTGCTGTCTGGGACTTAAATGAGCGAGTAGCTTCTTAAATTCTCGCTGCTGAATTCAGTTTGGCAAGTTCGGGATGGTTGGCTGCTAGTATTTGGAAGCCCAATTCCTCATGAGGACATTCATCCGGTGTTTGGGGCAGCTTCACACCCTGACGGCCAAAGCTAGGGGCGCGTATCGACGACAAACTCCCGGTTTGCTGCGGCAGCGCATCGTAAGACCAACCTGAGATGTGCGACAGGATTGTAGCCAATCGGCTGCACACTTCTAACAAGTCTTTCTTGCTGCCTTTCCTGATCCACGAACTTGCAGAATTCTAAACCTTCCACACCTGCATCCTCCCATACCTTAAGTACTTGCATTTGCCCAGGTAGAAGAAAGACGCCATTTGGTTCTACGGTGACAGTTCCTGAAGCCTTGCCTCATCATCCCATCTCCCACCTCGCAGCCACTGCGACTTATTGCTCTTCATTTGACCAGCAGCACAAGAGGCACCGTGACTGGGCAACCATCACAGTGAAGCGTCAAAATGGATCGCTTCCATTCAAGTATGTTCCATGGAGAGAGTACGCACGGCCGCCGATTTGCGATGCTGACTTGCTGCCAGTCAACCCCTTCGCCAGGAGAGACTCGCATAGCCCAAACTCGGTCATCACCTACAAGGTCCTGACGCTGCTGACATGGCTGCTCTCGGTCATCGTCACCGTCTACTACGACATCGAGCCTCCCCATGACGGCAAGTACCATGGCGGAACCATCTGGCATCAGAACTACCACCACTACTCGGGCTTTACCCTCAACTCGGTTATCACCTCCATCTACTGGTTCGTCACCAGCCTCTTTCTGCGTCTTAAACCACTAGGCTAACCCCCCGCGTCTGCGCTCAACAGGATCGTCCTCTTCATCCTCCAGCTAGGCTACATCTCGCACCTCTTCTCGTCCAAAGTCGAGTCAGTCAACGCGGCATGCGCCGTAGGCAGCCGTACGTTAACCCTCCCAAACAACAGTGTCGTGAAGAAGGAGGAAAACCTAACTCCCAACCCATGACAGACTTCATCGTCAACAACCTCCTGCACTTCGCCTTCGTCATGCTCTTCGTGCGCTCGCACTTTGTCTGGGCCGAGGTCATGCTGCTGCTCAACTTTGCCAACCTGAGCTCGCTCTACTTCCGCCACAACACCTACCCGCGCTTCATCCACCTGCCGGCCGTGTCGGGCCCGCTGGCGTGGACCTTCGTGGCTATCTACTGGAACGGCGCGATCATGGTGCCACACCACAATAGCCTGGTGGCGCGCATCTTTGCGAACATATTTGTGTGGTCCATCCTGGGCTACGGAATGTTCTTCATCATCCTCTACAAGGTGAGACACTTCCCTTCCCATCCCTGTGTTACGGTATATCAAGATGTCGCGGAGCTGACAGATAGTTTGCCCTGCAGGACTATACCATGGGCTTCGCGCTCAGCGTGCTTTCGGCCTCCCTGGGCGTCGCGCAGTTCTTCCGGCAGGTCATTGCCTTCCAGTGGATCTTTGCCTTCACCATCATGGCCGTGCTGTTCGTGTTTACCGTCATTGTGGCCGTGCCTGCGTGGGCTGGACGGGAGCTGCCGTGGGGTGGCACGGCCGAGAGGCAGACGGATGCGGAGAGGGCTCCGCTGCTTGGGGAGAGCTAGAGCGCTTCCTTGCGATGGGCGGTGGCAAAGGGGATGAGGATGGTATTGCATCTGAGGAACAGTGGCGAGGGTCTGGAAGGCCACTGGTCTGGAGTGGTCCGGGTAAGGAGGAGGGGATTGCGGCTTGACCTGAAATTGACTTGCCCTTTCGGATGTCGGAACTGGAAGGATGATATTGGCGTTGGTTGGAGGGATTAATTCTATGTAATCTCTGGGAATTCGGGCCCGCAGGAACTTCAGGTAACGATCAATTGGTAATCTTCTCTTGCTTGTTGTGTGAAGGTCGGTTTACCTATCGTGGAAGGACACTGGCGCTTATCGATAGCTGAACAAATTGAATGGGATGTCCCGGTGATACCTACACGTACCTTACCTATTGTAGATTAGCTCCAGTCTAATTAGCCTCTCTTCATGACCACATCAGCCCATAGGATCTCAACATCTCCAGACTGCCCAAACCACTTCAACAAACTCATACCCTCCAACCGCAAAACGCACTAAACAATGCCGCCACCACTACCCTTCCCCTACCCGCTCCGCGTCGGCACCGACCTCTGCCGCATCCCGCGCATCCTGCGCATCCTGCAAGGCAAGAACGGCTCGCGCTTCATCCACCGCATCCTGGCGCCGGAAGAGCTGGTGCGCGTGCGGCCCGTCATCCGCGCCGTGCTCGACGACGCGGCCAACAGTGCTGCGAAGGCGACTGCTGCTGTCGGGGCGGGAGCCCGGGCAAGCGCCAAGCGATCGACGGCTCGGGAATCATGGGTTATTCAGGAGGAACAGCCGCAGCACCAGGATGACTTGCTCGACGGGATAGCAAAGAAGGAGGGGTTGTGGGGAAATGAGGACAGGCTTGGCTTGTACAAGTCAGCGGCTACGTTCCTGGCTGGGAGGTGCGTGCGATCGCGTCTCTCTTTTCACCGGGGGCCCAGGGCCCGAGAAAATCTGACTCCGGTTTTGACAACCTATGTAGATGGGCAGCGAAAGAGGCCGCGTTCAAGGCGCATCCGCATCTGAGGCTAGGGTTCCACGACGTGCTCATCCTGTCGCCTGCGGAGATGGAAGAGCAGACGACGGGGGGCCGGCCGCTCTGGCAGCAGGCTTGGCATGCGAAAGGGGCGCCTGTTGCGGTGATCAAGCCTGGCGAAGGGAGGAGGGACCAGATTGCCATGGTGAGCATCAGCCATGACGGCAACTATGCGAGTGCCGTGAGCATTGGGTTTGAACCGGTCCAGGAGGGAGGGGACAGGGAGCAGGGAAGAGGATGGTTCTCGCGGCTTTCCCGATTATGGTCATGATTACGAAGGGTAAGGCGGCAGGAAGACCGAGGGAAGATCGGCCGGTTTGTGGCGTCTGCTTGGAGCAACAAAGATACCCGTCTGAGAGAGAGCAGAATTTGAGGAGAGGGGACTCATTGTGTTAAGAATGGCGGCACATGGCAGGTTGATTGCCCGAGGCATGAGTGCAGCAGGATTAGAGAAGGATTCGGCATACTGTACTTGAGGTTCAGAGTCCTAGGAGCTAAGGCAGCTACAGCCGATCGGCCGAGTGGCGCAATGGTAGCGTGTGGTCCTCCTATTCGTGGGAGAATCAGACTGAGGTTGTGGGTTCGAGTCCCATCTCGGTCGGCTTGATTTTTCGTAGGCTGCCATCCACAAAGCTCAATTTTTGGCTCTGAGTGCTTCACACACAAAGTCTGTCGAACTACGAAACCTTTTCCGAGAGATCATTGTATGTGCCCTGAACGGATCTTATACCTGATCCAAGGTTAGACCCGCCGCTACGGTGTAGAACAAGATTTGCAAATCGCGTCTGATGGGCATGAGCATAGCAGCACGGAAAAAGGAGATCAACCTCCAAAATAAGACGCAACATCTGCCATTTTCTCGTCGCCAGATGGTCTTCGATCCACCCAGGGGTCGAACCTGGAACCTCCTGATTACACAATCGTAGTCAGACGCTCTGCCATTGAGCCAGCGGACCTCGGTGATAGATTGCTGTGTGTGGAGACACTTTTCTGCCAATCTCTTGTGGCCCGCAGAGGTCCACCTCGGGCTCATGGCAGAGACTGGAGGATTTAGTTACGGGAGACTGGAGAATGAGGTTGATGACGAGAGTCAGTTGCGGCTCAACCGTCGAGTGAAAGTAGGTACTAGTACGACCAGAACGGCGGATGTACGAATTTGCGCCTCACCTGCCCTCAAGACCGGGATCCAGCCAGAAGGTGAAGCGGTTCCGGAGTACCGAAAGTGACCGCGCTCTTTGCCCTCTATTAAGTCTTGCCAGAGACAGGCTCCGTGCTCTAGGCTCTAAACTCTGTCTAGGTGTTGGCCGAGAATAGCACCTCTCGCTCTTCTGTTTATGGCCCCTTGCTCCCAAGACACCGTTGAACAAACCAGACGCGACCTTGCAAAAAGAGACTCTTGCCTCGCCAAGTCCCCCAAACCCTACTCCTCCAACCTCAAGCTCGCTCTAAACTCATCAATCGTCACACTCCTCTCAACCACCTCCGCCTTCCTGCCTTCACCCCCCGTCCCAGGCCTCCGTTCTAGCGCCCACAGCTCCCTCACTCCCAATCCCTCCAAATAATCCAACCCCCTATGATAGTTCGTCGCCACCTGCGCAGTCCCATGGCTATCGTCAGAGAACGTAAACCTCCCGCCCATCCTCACCCACTCCTCCGCAATCTCCCGGCTGGGATACGCCTCGTCCAACCCCTTCCTCAACCCGCTAGTATTACACTCCAACCACCCTTCATACCCCATCACAAACTCCAGATTCCTCACCACCCTCTCCCACACCCCCTTCCACTCTTTCAAGCTCTTGATCTTCTTACTCTCCCCCGCATTCCCATCACCACCGCCAGCAGCAGATCTCCCAATACACCTACTGAACAACCGAGGCAAATCAAAATGCCCCACCACCCTCGGCCTCACCTCCCTCAACATAGCGAACTGCTCATCCAAATACACCGCCCACAACGCCTCTTCCGTCCCGCCGCACGCAGCCACCGCCTGCGCATACATGGCCGCGTCAAAGTCGATGGGGACACCCCTTGCGTGGTGCAGCGACCCGACAAAGTAGTCCACCGCGGGATGGGCGGCGAGCGAGCGGATGAGCGAGGCATAAGCCGGGCGGATCCACTCGCCCTCGAAGCCGACCAGGACGTGGATCTGCGAGGCATACTTGGTCTGCAGGCGGGCGGCTTCGGCCAGGTAGGCTTCGTGCCGCGGCGCGAGGGCGGCGAGGGATTTCTCTGGGGAGGGGAGCAACTGTAATTGTTTAGCGCGTATTTTTGGGAAGATGAAATAAATAAATAAAGGGGTTGAGGGAGAGAGTTGCTTACTTACCTCTTCAGGGTACAGGTCGGACAGCGCGGTGCGGGGCATGTGCTCGGTCAGGCCGATCGTCTTGTAGCCGACCTTGATGGCATGGAGGATAATGTCCTCGAGCTGGTCTTTGGCGTGGCCGGGGCAGAACTGGCCTGAGTGGGAGTGCATTGTGAAGGCCATGGCTGAAGCGGGCGCGCGGGTGAGGGGCGAGAAGTAAATATTTGCCCTCTCCTGTCCTCACTCAATGGCTGGGTGGCTTGGCGTTGGTAGATTTATATCAGTCGGTCCTCAATTCGAGCTGCTTTAGATGTTAAGAAATGACTGGCCTTGAATGTCTTAGATGGGCGGGTTACTTGCTCAGCGTTTTTCAGAGATCGGGCTGCCGAAAATGGCAGTCTTAACCCGAACCTGCATTTTCGGAAGGCCAGTGCACCCCCGGCCAGTCTCTGGAGCACAGACCTGAATTCGTGAAGATGAGAGCTCAGGAGGTATGACCTTTTTCCCAATAGTATCGATCCAATCTATTGTATTATAATTATCCGTGACCAAACAGTATGAGTACGATAGCTGGGCACCTGTTGGGTGTTTCGAGAAGCATAGTTTTACCACAGGACAGGATGGTCCCCAATGTCTTCCATGTGAATTTCGGGCTGACTTTAGGTGCGGCTAGACGCGCACTTTCAGTAGTTACTAGTAACGTTAACTATGTCATCATGTATTTTGCGTCGTGCTTCACGCAACATTCACATTTTACGAGTCTGAAGAAGACGCATTGTGTAGATAAAAGGTGCCCCAGGGGCACTCCTTCCATTCCTATGTCTCTATCTGCCTCGAGCAGGTGATTCCATCAGATTGGTGGCGACAAAGCATATATCCGACACAGTCTTCCGCGGTTATCACTACCTTATCTGCCAGCGTTTTGTATACACGGAAGTCTAGGAAGTCTAGGTCAATTGTACGGCAAATCCGAAGCATGTCATAAAACGGTACGACCCCCAGCCGCCTTGCGGCCAAAGAGGCTGCAAAGGGTATAAGGATATCAATTTCGCCCCGTCTACGAAAAAGACGGATCTTTGCCCAAGTACTAACTAGGCACTGGAAAATGCGCAGCATTAACTAGCCGCCAGAACGACCCTATTCGAGAGGTGTTTGCGCTAACATATGTATCAAGACAGACCCTAAGCTATTAGGGGCTAGAATTCAAGGCTGCTTCAGTCCAGGTTTTAGGAGCAATTCCTATGAATCCTGTCAACCGGCACTAGCGTTTGAAGCTGCATCGTTCCGCGAACTGCCCCGTCCTCGCAATGTTTCCCAAGGCTTCACTAGATACTCAACTTCTAACTCTGCCCCTCTAAAAGCCTATCAGACGGCGGATAGGCGGTGTCGCCGGGTGCTCACCCTCCTCGCAGAGCCCGTAGAGCCACCTCTCGCCACAGGGTTGGTCATGTTCATCCGGCGGGGAAACATACTTCTCGGGGCTTTCGCCACGTGCAATGGCGACCTGGATAGCCCTGAGGTCAGCCAACACCTGGTCCGCTGTGGTGTAGAGCTGGCGCCAGCATCGCGCCGTGACAGCAGCGCACACGTGCTCGTCGGCAGGGGGGAACTCGCCGGCGCGGAAACGCCGCTCGATCTCGAGCTCGATTTCGTGGAACCACCGCATGATATCGTCATCGGTCTCGGAGGAGCGGGCCAGGTCCGGGAAGACCTCTGCACCGGTGATGAAAAATTGCAGGGCGCTGCCGAGTGCAAATAGATCGGTTCGCACGTTACAGCGGTCGGCAGGGTGCGGAGGCAGCCAGGCCTTAGCGGATTCGCATGAGCCTCCGTCAAGGACAACAGCGCCGGTCGGAGAGAAGTGCTGGCCCTGAAAGTCGGCGAGCTTAAGATCGAGGTTGGCGTCAAGAAGGAAGTTGTCGTGTCGTATATCGCAGTGCACAACCCGCCGTGAATGAATGTAGGCCACAGCCTCGGCAGCCTGGACACACCAGGCCAGCCGCCGGTGCAAAGGCACGTCGGGGTGGGCAGAGAGGTAATCGTACACGTTCCCGTTTGGCATGAACTCCAGAAGTAAGCCGTCCTCAGTAAGCCCCTTGAACCGGATAATGCGAGGATGCGGCCCTAGCACTTCAAGCATCTTAGCTTCGATCTGGACCCGTTTCATGTCTTCTTTTATACGGGGATACTTGAGCACTGTTGTGTCGTCGACCTCGCCAATGTTGCAGGAACCGCCGCTGGGGTTTATGAGACGTCTAACGCGAGGGGACGTATATGACTCTAGCACGATGCGTGTGATGTTGGTCATTGCGGCGGTCATGATGCTTGCCAGGGCGCGCTTAGCTAGCTGTGCGTGCCGGTTGGGACAGCGGGGCGAAGTCAAATGTCATAATTGTATGTGTACTACCTTAGGTGTGACGCTCCGCGACAGCTGTGATTTTGGACGCTTTTTGGTCCAAAGGTCCGTCTGCGTTGGCGGTATTGTCCGAGAGAGCCACTGTTAGGCACGTGATAGTAACGGTGTTTGCAAAGATGATCTCTCATCATGTTGGAGCGCACCACGACGGGATGCATCCCAGGAACGGGCAGAAATGGTGTTGTCAGGTCAACTGAACACTGGATTCTACGATGGAAGGCTGGGGTCAAAAGTGTTCACCCTGCTCGACGTCACCTTGCTCGGTGCGGCACAGTGTGCCGCTTACTATGGTTGCGTGCAAAAGCTTTGTGACCTGGTCGCGTGGGCTCTGCTGCCAGCTGCTGCCAGATCCGTTCTCACCGGCCACCCACCAATCATAATCCCGGTCGGTACCATGACATGCCCCAAAACTTACCCCTACCACCATAGTATCAACCTTTGCCAGAATTTCAGTGGAATGCTGCTAAGACCTTAGCGTCATTATCGCGATCGATTAGCGGGACAATCGCCTATTGTTGTATGCTTGGGGAGTGGGAAATACAGTATCAAAATTCTGTATGCCAAGGCAGATGCACAGTCTTGACTAAGCAGGTACTTCTTGCAGGGTGAACACTTTTGGCCCCAGCCTTGGTAGAAGGCCGCAAACTAAGGTATACATTTACACTTTTACAAGCTCCCAACTACTACTATGACAGTACCACAGTAGGTAGCACTTCCTAACTGGTCCCATCAATACCTAGGATCCAATGCTAGTCGAAAAGTGGCCTCCAATTTAGTTGATAGATAAGGTAGGTAAGGTAACCCGTGGGATCATGATCACTTCTAAGTCCAGTACTTTCCGAAAAAAGCAGTAGCTGGTTAAGACATGATTAGCCTGAGGCGAGAAGAGAAGACGGTATTTGATACATCGTTCCGACCCAAGAACCAGCAACCACCACCTCACGATGAACCATATCTCCATTCACCCTGTAGAGATGTAATAAGACAACAGCAGCAACAACAGCACGTACAAAATGTAGAAAATACCCATCAGCCTCGTCTTGCCTTGTACACCCCATCTATGCCCTCCCCTTCCTTCCCATCCCTCAAACACAACCTCCCCCGTCTCATCTCCATCTTCAAAACCAATACAAATTCACCACCTCCCCCTTTCTATTGTCATACCTCAAACACCTTACAATATCACATCCTCAAACCCCTCATCAACGATGAATCAAACCTCAGTGACCAAAGCCTCC